GCAAATGGCAGAAGTCAGCGAGTGGGAGTTTGAAGAAAGCTGTGGTTAGTTACTTCACAGATGAGTTTGTCTTGTGGGTTGTATTTTTACTATGTGATGGGTTTTTCCACCATTGGGTATTTTTATACTTGTACTTTCTGAAGAGGTGAAGATGGAAAAAATAGATAGATGGTTGTTTTTGTTTTTTTCATTTCTTTTTTTCCCCTTCTGGTGTCATTGTTAGTGATCTGCACCAAAAATACAGACTAAATGTAATGCAGGTGAAAAGCAGTGATCTTTGTGAGCTCTACTAGTGAACCAGAACATCCATGCAGGAAAACTACACAGCCTGAGTGAGAGGGAAAGTCTTTCTTATTGCAAGATGTGCTGGTTTTGTTATGTGCCATTTTTGTCCATCTCAGTAGTTTAATTCTTTACAAATATTTTCTCTGTACTTTCGGAGGGTTTTTCCTCCTTTTTGAGGAGGCTATCAGGCTTTCATCAAGATGTTGAAATCTGGGGGTTGGTAGCTTCTGTGTTTGGTTACTTCCCTGTCCTAATGTATATCAGTCCCTTTTTGCATTAATTGAAAAAAGATTTTTAAATTATGAAATGATAAGACTGCAACCTACTATCCCCATTCAGACTATCTATGGCATTAATCTCAGTGATAAGAAAGGTCTTTATGAACGTTCATTTAAATTGCGCTGATGGGAGAACTGGACAAAATGAATTTAACTTTTGTGTATAACTGGACTAAGTGCTGTTGCCCAAGTCCTCTGACAGCTTCTTCCAAGGCATCAGAGCCCAGAAGAAAATGCATCTCAACCTCTGTGTGGAGATAACATTGCAGCTGAATAATCCTCAGTTGAAGAATCACCCTTTCTTCTTTGGTTTGTTTTTTTCCCTGGTTGTGCAGAGTCACTTTGCATTTGACCCAAACCACAAGAAGCTTTATTTTCACTTGTGACAGCTGTCGAGTGAGAGTGAAGGAGACAGTTTTTGCCTTGTTCATGCTTTCCAGAGCAGACAGTCACTACTAGTGCCTCTGGTGGTGCCCTGAAGAACCCAATTTCACAGGAAACAGCAGAACAGGTACTGAGTGCAATCCTGCCTGCCAGTGTGCCCTTTGATCCCTTCAATGCTAGTACTTTTTGTGTGAGGAAAAATGGAGTGTTTATTGGAATCAAAGTCACTACTGTGTTTCATTTGAGCTGGATCTGAATACATGGAGAAGAGTTTATTTAGAGGTCTTTTCCTACCCTCCTACCATGCACCCTCACCTCCCTATCCTAGGATCCCATCTCTGTGCTTCCGCACACCCACTCCCTTCTCACATTTACTGTCCTCCTTTTGTCCAGCTGTGAACTGAGATCTGCCACCTCTCTCTCATTAAATTGTCAGTCCCCCCCCCCTTTTCTTTCTCTCCCTGACCCTGAGCTACCTGTATCTGCCATATCCTGAGCAGAAACTGTAGTGACAGGACTGACTGGGGCATGAGCAGTGCGCTGACCAGGTTGGCAAGGTGGAGGTGCTGCCCGTCAGCTGGGATCTGTTATTCTGTGCCTCTCTGAGTGCTTCAGAATGGACAGTGGGAGGACTTCTGAGCAGAGACCTACGTCCTTTAGAGCCAGGGAGCCTCTAGGAGCTTGGCTCTTCTTGGGCCAAGGTTGGTCTATCCCATCTCTAAATATGAAAATGTCAGAGTTTGGAAAATCAAGGCAGTACATACCAAAAAATATCACGCTCTCTCCAAACAGTTTTATTTATCTGTTTTCCTTGTGCTTTTCATGAATTGACTAAGTAGTGTTTGAAAAGATAAATTTGGGATTTTAAGGCCATGCTTGAATGTAAATATATTTTCTTAGTATATACTCTTTACTTCTTCTGAAATCATTGCTATCTTTTTGTGTTTAGAGTAAGGGGAAGGAAAGAAGCATATACTGTCACTGTCTTTGAACTTTCCTGCAAGGCTGGTGCTGCTTCCCCTCCATTAAGCTCACTTGTTGGTGTGCTCCTCCTTTTGCCCAATGCATCACTGCAGGAGCATCCCTTATAAAACAGAAAGAAAGCTTTCCTGTGAGGCATTCCTTTCCATCCTGTAAACAGTCGTCAGTGTAAATTTGCTCCAGGCTTACTAACCACTTTGCACCAGTCATAAATTTGAATAACTTCATAGGAGAGGATTTGCCTGAAAATGGGTCACAAAAACAGTTCTCTTCAGATGGGATGTGTGGTGCAGCAGGCTTTCTCCTGTATAATAAAATAAATACAGCAATTAACTTGTTTATTCTGATACAAGCCTTATACTTCTAATACTTCACTTTGGTACAGGTTTTAGGTGTTCAAGAAATGCAGAATTAGGAATCGTTATGGAGTGATACCTCCTGTATATCACCAGATTCCAAGCAGTTAACAGCGGCTGCTTAAAGCCAGCAAATAGCTACTTAGGTAGTGTTTGGTGTCCCATCAGTGTGGGTGAACACTGCCCTGTGGAGTGAGCAGGGCCTTCCAGCTGCATGCAGGAGTATGCTCATATCAGCCGTGAGGAGACACCTCCACCAGAGCTCATTCTGAGCTGCTTTAGCTGAATTTTGATTCCTACCCGTTGCTAGCTAGTGGGAAAGGACAGCATCAACTACCAGTGAAACTCGAATCTTATTCCGTGTGACAAGGAGAGGATTGCAAAGCCTTAAAGCTGCTTCTCTTTCTTTTATTCTCCTGTGGCCTGTTTATACAGTGATTATATTTTACTTTTGAGGTACATGCAGTTTGCAGAACTTAATGAACTTAAGTGGTTTAAATAATGAAATGGAACACAGACCTCCCAGCACCTTGCTTTTAACATTTGGTTCTATTCTCTCCTCCAGCAGGCAAATTAAATCAGGAATGCAGATGAAGAGAAATTGTCTATACATTCACCTTCCCAATACAGACTGGTTAGACTAATTAACAGAATAGCCTTCTTGATACAGAAACTTCCAGTTAGGAGCTCCTACCATGAGTTATTAATGCAAAAGTTTGATGCTTATCAAGATAGGGGTACTTTTTGTTCTGAAGAAAGGAAAGCAATCATCCTTGTTTGATGGAAGAACTGTTTTCAAATTGGAATACATCTTGTTCAAGAGAAGTGGTCATTGTGCATGCTGCAGTGAGTTACCATGAGGGGAGAAGTAACTCCTGAGTATTGAGTCCAGCTCCTATCAAACTATGGACTTGAACCAAGTGCTTCACCACATGCTTTCTTTAGTGCACCCTGAACATTTAAAGACCTAATCCAAATTCCAGTGATATCACTGCAAACCTAAATTATTCAGGGAAGAGGGCAGAGGGGAGATTCGAGGTCTACAGATGAGTCCTCGAGTGCACTGCAGTGATTCCTGGCCCTTGTCTCCAGCCTGCTACTCTCCTCCCTAGTGCATTCTCTTTTAATTATTCTCAAGCTACCAGTAGTAGTGATACAAATCTTTACACTACTGCTAGTAGTAGTGATACAAATCTTTACTGTGGGCATGCACTTTTTGGTCTTGCCTTTTCTAGATATTTTTCCAAAATAAAAGCTTTAGTGAATGAAGTAACAATGTTTCTGCTCTGAGTAGTTGGAGGGAAAAAGTAACAAAATCTACAACTTTAGAAACTTAAAAGCAATGCAGGGTCTTAGCCTGAATCTTCCAGAAGCTCTGCTGGGGAAGGAGTTAACTTTGTCAGCCCTGTACAGTATTGCTTCCAAAACCTAGTACTTAAAATTTAAGTTTCAACACTTATTCTGTTGCAGTGCTGATAGCTTTGACAGAAACATAAGGCTTTTCTGCAATTTGTAATGCAGTCATTGCAATACTCTTTTCATAGTCTACTTTAGCCATGTGAAACATAAGCTACCTTGTAAGCAAGGTGAAGAATTTCTTTTAGCTCTGTGACTGGCTCTACAAGAGTGTAGAAGTTAGTGTGCTCCGGTCGTATAATCTGCTTTCTTCCATTGTTTTTTTCTCAAAGTCTTGTCTGATGTGATTTTAATTGAGTCACTTGACAAGGATTTTGTCACTATCCTGGGGAAGCAGTCTTGGCTTTTGCCTGATGTTGCAATTTTTGTTGTCTTCATTTTTTTTGTTGTCTTCATTTTGTGGCAAGTGACAGGAAGTTCACTGACTTTAAGTCCAGCTTTCTCTCATTCAACTTCAGGTCAATACTCATCACTTTAAAACTTTATGCACTGATTGTCACAAACTGTTTTCAACTTTCAGATTACCATGAGTATCTGCAAGTTGCGGTCATATACAAATACATCTTGTATATCTGCAAGTAAATCCAAGTAATTTGGATTTTGTTTCCAAATTTCTTTGATTTGCCTGTTTTGCACTCTGTTCTTAAAATGTCATTTGAAGTATAAGCAACACAACCATCTATCTGTTCATCTTAAGCAGAATTTGTGGTAAGCAAAGATGAAGGTCTTGGACACCTTTCTGCTTGTTTACTGATGTGTGTGCATGAATGGGTTCTTTGGTTTCAGTGCTAGAGAAATCAAGTGAAAAGGCAGTTCAGCAAGCTGGGTCATGCTGTACTATTGGAAGCACTTTACATTATCATTGCTGATCACAGAAGACTGCATTTTCCTGTAGGGTTATAAAAAGTTCAGATGATCTCCAAGACATCAGAATGGTATTTACAGTTAGTTATATTTTAGAAAACATAAGGGATGCCTACTTGTGTGAAACAGTATTTTAATTTTTGGATCAGAGTATCACGGCACCACATTCTGCTCCTTTAACTTTCCTTTTTGTTGTTGAGTTTTACACTGTCATGCTTGCTTTACTGTGCCCATATAAAGCTGGTTTGCTGGGGGTTCTTGTGTTTTAAAGGAACACGATAAGTGTGCCCCAGTGCACCTCCAGGTATTTAGGAGTTTCATGCAATGCTGTCATCTGTTAAAAACAAAATTATTACAGTCTGAGATGGTTGATTAGAGTTTCCATGCTGAAATCTTTTCTGTGGTGCTGTCCTGATGCAGTTTCTTTTGTAATCAGTTTCAGGAGCTTCTGGAAGTGGGAAGAGGGAATCTGCTTGTGTGACAGCAGCCCTTGGTAACACTTGGAGTCACAGTGTCAACACCAGGCTCATCCTGCAATATCATGACTTGCTGACAAGGCAGGTGAGAACTTAAATATAAGTCATACAAGCAGTTGTTCACTAGGTGGGTAACTGTATGACAGCCAGCGTGGTTAAGTACCGTGTGGTGAGAATGGGCCAAGTGCCTACCTGGGATGCAGGGAGGTCACTGTTCTTTGCTTTTCAGGGATGGCCAGTCCTCCACTGCCTCCCTGTGTTAGAATGGGCTTATCTGAATCAAAGGATCTGGTGTGTGTTGGCACAGACATGCAAATTCCTTGAGTTTTTAGGGCATTACATACTGTGGAGTGAAGGTAATCCTTGAAGTGTTCTCCTGCACAGGAATTTGAGATGGAAGTGGGAAGCTAGTCCTTTTGGTAGCATGATTGTTTTGCTGTCGCATCTTTCCCACTCTTCTGTGCCAAATTTCTTCTGTGACTGTTAGGATAGAGAGTGCTCTATCTGCAGCTACTGTTTGCAAATGGAGTTGCCTGTACCGGCAAACTTGTTTTGTGCATTAAATGTGGTAACAGCTTTCCAGTAGTACATCTGCAAAAAGGAGATAACTAACACTTTTACTGAGGGACTTCATGCTTTTGAATGAACTATGGTAGCTTTTTTTTTTTTTTTTTTTTTTGCCTGGCCACCTTCACTCTTTAATTTAAAAATAAAAAATAAAAAAAAAAGGAAAAAAAATCCAAAAATCTAGGAGATAAGGGAGATAAGACATGGGGTTTGATTGAGGGAATGACTCTTCCTGTTTTTAAAACATAATAACACATGATTTCATCTGTCCCTTGGGATATCCATGGTTAATCTCTTTTGGTTTCATCTCTTCTATTTTTCATTGGTGTAACTCTTTTTGAAGGCTGCGACCCTTGGTCTTAATGTTATTGATGTTTTGTCTGCTTCGAGTGCTGTCAGAAAAGGTGTTATGCGACTTTTTTTTTTTGGACACATTTTTTTATTTAAATGCAAGAATTCTTCTTTACTGGTCACTTTACTGCCTGAGGAAGGTCTTTCTGGCTCTACTTTCTTTTCCTCTGGAGGAGGAGAGGTCACAGTGACAGTCTGGGAGAGATCTTCCCATATGTCTGATTTGCATCGTAGTAGAGCCAGGGTGCTTGTCCTTGCTGGGAAAGCTTGCCCCTCAAGAGCAAAATCAGCACTTGAGATTTGCTGGGCTGTGAGTCCGGAGGGTAATATTCTTCAAAATGTGAAGATATAATCATTAAGGAGGATTCAAGCCAAGCAGTTTGCAGGAAACACGTAGAGCACAGCCCACTGAATTGCTTGATGCTTGTTCTCAGTCACACAGCATTGAGTTCTGGGAAAGCTCAAGGTCAGTGCAGTAGTCCATAGACCTGAAACTCTACAGAATGCCAAGGCAGCGGGTGGCATAAAGAGTATGCAACAAATCTAGGGAAATCAAGCATAGAATTCTTACACAGGAGTTGTTTGTTTGTTTGTTTTGCAGCCATTTTTCTGCCAACTATCCCTTTTTCCTCCTCACCCTTTACATGTCTGTTGAACATTAGTAAGACAACAGGCAATTCAGCAAAGTATTGAAATTTCTGGAACATCCTGCCTGCCTTAAAATCTGTTAGGTTTATTTTATTGCTTGGATAGGACAAGGTTTCTTAAACAGATGAACGCTCCTCTTTTTCCCACTTTCCAAAGCCTGTGTTCTAGTTTCATTTTCCTTTAGCAGAGATACATTGCCACAGGTGGGAGGACAAGCGCAGGTTTCCAGCCTTCTCTTGGATTAATTGTGCCATCAGAATCCACGAGATGGGTTGCAGTCAGTCTGCTGACTACTGAGGTAGGGCTGAAGCTGCACGAGGCACAGAGCAGTATGGAGTCATAAGAGCTCGGGAGAAATTGGGAGAAGTTAATCATTTCACACAAATGTGTTCACAAAGGGAATTTGCTACTATCTGTCCAGTATATGGATAGTGATAGTTGGTTCTCCCTGAGGAGTCTTGTAAGTCATTAACCTTGACATGTGTTTTCCTGAATTCCATACATAAACATGCAGGGCCTTTGAGGTTGGGCCAAAACTAACGAGACTGTGCCACAAACTATGAGATTCCTCAGTTGCCGCTATGCTTATAATGATCCTGCTTTCCTGAATTGGAGTCAAAAGGCTTCCAAGCTTACTGTTTTCATGTGTGCTCAGCTGTCTTTGGGAGACAGTGTGGTAGGGTTTAATAATTTGACGTGCTATATTTAACATTTTATTCTTGTCTGTTAGAGGCAGGATGCTGGATTAAGTGAAACACTGACCAGATCTGGTACGGCAACTAAAATGGGCCTGGTTTATTTTATAGTTTCCAAGGGATTTGTGAGACTCATATTGTAACACTAATGGCTATAATGTGTTTTGAAATTCTCAGATGGAAAGTGCTGTGGAAGCACAAGGTGTTATTATATAACAAATCAATGTTATCGCATGGTATTTTAAAGAACTCCAGGATTGAGATACGAGATAGGGACTAGGGCTTTCAAGCCATGCCAGGTAGTTGTTGTACAGCTGTTTTCCTGCTTCAGGTAAAGTGTTTCAAATGGATAAGTATATGATGACTCAGTCTTAAAACAAAACAGAAAGCCATCTCTTATTCTGACTAATGCCAGACATAACTTTTGTTGTGTCCTTAGTTACAGACCAGCTGTTTTGTCTTGGTCTGTTCAGTATCATATGAATAAGCCCTGAATAAGCATTCCAAAATTGTGATGGTGAAGTAACCATGGTACTTGCTGGCGTGCAGAAGGGCTGGGAGAATGAGAAGGGGGGCAGAGATGAACTTTTATGTGTATGGGACTTAAGGCTTCAGAATAAAACTAGATTTATGTCTCCCTGTAAGACCTTGATGGTAGTTGTTAGATAGGCTCTATAGCTGTTGGATAGTTGTCCAGTTTTTGAGATAACATCAATTGAGGTTTTTATCTATAAAAAGGGGAAGCAAATAAACCACAAAAAATAAAGCAATTACAAACAAAGCAAGTAGGCTGAGGAAAAAACGTATGCTAAGTGCTGTCTGGGTTTAAGCCCTTCTAATTTTTATCTTAACCTAGGCAAGAGAGAGTACAATAATGAAATCTGAAAAACAGAATCAAATGTTTGCACATCAAGGCTCAGTGGAAGTTTGTAGCCTCATACTGTGAAGACTTCTGATTACTTTGAGACAGTAGTGTTTACTAGGAAGAAAAAGAGAAGCAATGAAATGTAATGTGATGGAATGTGCTGAAATCACTGTGAAATGGAAGGAATAAGATCTAATGTAAATATAGTGTTAGTGTGTTTTCTTCTGTTAATTTTGTAACAATTATAGATGCATACTAAACCAAATGAAGATGCAGAAGAAGCAGTGTAAACATATTTTTTTCAGTAGTCTTAAAATACTTTTGAAGTCAGATGGGGAAGCTGGAGGTGGTCTGTTCAATGCAGACAGAAAACTTTTCACCTACTTCAGCAGGGCTGATTCAGTCTTTGACGTGGTTGGAACAAGAAAAATCCCATGGAGAACTGGGCGTTGAAATCAGTGTTTTGCCAAAGAAGGTGACTGAGGATGTGCACAGGTTACCTGTAGTTGTGTGAGATGAGAAATGTGTTTCTTTACATTCTTTACATGTCTTTAGCCAAGCTAGGATTTGGGGAGGCTCAGAAAAAGAAATTTCTGTACCTTTAGAACAGAAGAGAGCTGTGGATGTGCATTTCTCACAGAAGTACTAGAACAAATGCAGTGCTGTTTAGTAGCCTCAATCTGCACTGAGAAAACCTGACTGCGTATGCTACTTGAATCACGTACATAGTAATGTAAATTATATACATAATTCAGTTCTTTTTTCAAGTGTGTAGATGTGAATAAAATCAGCAGATGATGGCAGGTAATGAGCTTCAGTAAGCACTAGTAGAAAAGAGATGTGGTTATTGGGTTGTTTCAGAATTGAAATGTTATAAAGTGTTTATCTGTTGTAAGCCATTTGTTATATAATATGCTTATCGTATGGAAAATCAGCTCTGTAAAAGCACGAAGACTTCTTAAGACAAGGAAGAGTGATGACATGGAGTCATTTAAAGGGTAGGAAATTTTACAGAAAAGTAGTTTTATTCAGGTGAGAGTTTTTTTTACATACAAAGAACATTGCTTTTAAAGAAATAGCTGTGGGAAGACTCCAGATCATTGATCTGAACTCTGTAAAGTCTTCCATTTAAACAAACAAACAAAAAAAAGCAAGCAGCTTTTTCTGGGACTGTTTACTTTAGAGACTTCTGCCTTGCCCCGTCATCGTTTGACTCTTTAGAATCAAGATGCAATGAAGGTTTTTATAGGCTCAAATTTCAATGTGTAATGCATACAAACCACGTCCCTTAAATTGATAAATAAGTAGCTTATTATATTTTTCTGATTACAATATCCCTAGACTGGTAATTCTCACAACAGAAATCTTTTGCTTATCCATAGGTCACATACAAGCATAAGCAGCAATATGACATTGAGTTGCATGTGAATGGATGTCCAGGATGAAACTGGACACAGTGCACAAGTGTAGCATAAAAAGATGATTATCAAAACAGTATGATAAGTGATTTAATCCAGCAAAAGTACCAAATGAAAAGACACCATAAAAATAAATAAGATTCATTAACAAGTAGCTAGAGCTCAAACTTCATTAGGTCACTTTCCCAACTTGTGTGTTCATGTTGCTGTTTTCATTATGCTTTCTGCATAATGGACTTGGGAGAGGTGGTTATACAATATAAGCATCGCTGCAGTCCTGTCCAGGGCTGGATTTATGGCTCCTTCCTGTTGGCAGCACACTTTTATAGAGGAAAAACTTTTCCATCAGTCTTGAGCAATCACTCATTTACTCAGGTGCTTATATAACACTATTCCGTTTGTTATCTAAGAATCTAAATAGAACTGAGAGGACATTAGGTAAAACAGAAAAGAACAGAAGGAAACCTTAAAATAATTTATATTTTTCTGATTTTTTTTTATTAGCTTTGCAGTTTTCCTAAATGAAGATTATTCTAATGCT